GAGAGACAGAGAGAGAGAGAGACAGAGAGACAGAGAGACAGAGAGAGAGAGAACATAGAGACAGAGAGAGAAAGAGAGAGAGAGAGACAGAGAGAGAGACAGAGACAGAAGAGAGAGAAGAGAGAGAGAGAAGAGACAGAGACGAGAGAGAGAGAGAGACAGAGAGAGAAGAGAGAGACAGAGAGACAGAGAGAGAGAGAGAGAGAGAGACAGAGAGAGAGAGAGAGAGAGAGAGACAGAGACAGAGAGAGAGAGAGAGACAGAGAGAGAGAGAGAGAGAGAGAGAGAGAGAGAGACAGAGAGAGAGACAGAGAGAGAGACAGAGAGACAGAGAGAGCGATTTTTGATCTTTAAGTATCAATAGATGAAAACTTTAAGAAGCAGGAAATAACACGATAACAGCCAAGACTCTGCACTGACAGGAAATAAGATCTGAGTTTTTAATCTGTTCTTCAGTCTTGTAATTCAAAATAAGAGTTCAGTAAATCTATTTATTTGACACATCACAGTCTGGAAAACTCTGCAGCGTGACGTTAAAGTCTGTCCTGGAAAAGATCTCTGACATTTAACACAAACACTGTTTACAAATAACACAGATTTAATGATCACTCACCTCCTATTCTGGCATTGTAGGCAATTCCCACAATGCAATGGGAATTGTTTGCAGCTGCAGCCACTTCGCCCGCACACCGTGTCCCGTGTCTGAGGAAAGAGCGGGGATGAACATCTTATTACACGGATCAGGAACACACACACACACACACACACACACGTGTAAACACAAGCAGATAAACACACACAGCTTTGAAGTGGGGAGAAAAACGTAAACACACATTTACAAAGATAAACCTGAACATACCTGCAGCGATCTTTAGGTGATGGTTTCAAGTTTTGAAAGTGTTACTAATGTACAAGACAGAGATACAGAGACACATTGGAGACTTCTCACACAGCTCCACACACACACACACACACACACACACACACACACACACACAGGGTAACATTCCAGCAGTAACTGTAGCGGTGACAATCGACCCGGGTCAGCAACAAGCGTAAACAAACATAAGTGTGTTTGCGTCCGCTGCCTCCTCGAATACACCACTATCTGGATCTGCACAAACACGCTCGATCGCTCGCTCGCTCGCTCGCTCACACACACACACACACACACACACACACACACCTCCTACAGAGAACATCTGCATCACAACACCCCCCTGGAAACAGCTCTGACCGCTGCCATGGAAACCCAGCATCTAGTGATCGCAACCCCCCCCGGGGAAGTTTTCAAGCCCAGGAAGGACTGAAGAGGAGAACACTAAAAAGTTACCTGACGACTTAAAGTTTACACTTATTTAAAAACACGATCTCTCTGATTAGTTGCCATGACAACCGACCATTCTTCGAAGCCGGCACTGTTGGAGAAAAAAATTCTGCGATAAGCAATAACAACGTTGAGTTCTGCTAATAACATGAAGTGTGATGAAGTTTTTTTTTCATGTTCACACGTACACTGTGTAAAATAAGGACGCGGTCTCAGAGACGTCACCCATTGGTTACTTTCAAAAGAGAGGTTATCAGGTCTAAAGATGGCGGTCTCCATATTGGAACGCTATCTCTACTAGGGTTGTCTGGACACCAGAATTTGAAAGTTTGATACGACGGTGATTACGATACAGATACATGTTTCAATACCTCCGCAACAAAAATAGAAGACCTAGACGCCGATCATCGGGTAACTTCTACAATTCACTTAGCAGACGATCTTAATACAAAGGGACGAACACATCAGAGGTTTATTAACAGTGTCGAGAAAAACTCCTGCACACTGAGTTTCACATTTATGCTGTCGACTTTTCAGCATGACTTTGGTGCATATACAAATAAAACGTTTGAATATGTCACTTTATTGACGGACATTTGAGATAAGATCAGATCAGATCTAATATCGTAATCAGGTCTTGAAAAGAAAGGTTTGAAAGAAATTCTTGGAACAAAATTTGTTCTGATATGTTTTGTTTTTTTGTAATCAAACTAGTCGTGTCTTAAATAATAAGATTTGTAATAAGCTAAAGCTTCAGCCTACACCTTTTCAGTCAAAATGTTTTTGTATTTTCTTGTGACCGAAATAAATGATTACTACCAAGTAAAAAAAAAAAGTCCGATATTACGTAATTCTCATATCTGATATCGGGGTCACCGATCATGAAAGACGATTGAGCGCTTTAAACCTTCTGAGCACGCACAGTCTCACTTTGAAGACATTCAGACTGAACTGAAAGAAGTGTCCACGTCTCCATGACGACGTTCAGACGAGACGGAACAGCTCCTGCTATCTGATCAAAAGTTCAATTCTTACACTTCAGTTTAAAAAACTTTTAATTTGAAAACCTGACAGTTGTTTGTTTGTGAAGCTAGCACACAGAAATGCCTTGTTTACCACAGCTTTGTGAATTCTTACACATAATACCAAACACTACAATAACATTATTAGTTAAGATAATAAAAATATCAATATCTGTACTTATGTCAGAGCCAGACGACATGATTCCCTATTTCCCGTCTTTCCCGAAGCTTCATATTTATGGTGGGGATGTTACAATTCCTCGCAATAATAAATCTATACAAATATGGACAATTTAAACCGATTTTACAAAAATAAATATTGCAATCCTCCTTGTTTGAACCAGCATGGGGTGCTATCTGCTACAATGACCTCACATGTTTTCAGAGAAGAGAAGAGAGACCTCTTTATCAAAGTTAATGAGCCAAACTTCTGGCTCCTGCTTTTTATAAAACGCTTCAACAGTTTTCCCTCACTTCATTTCACTCCACTGATCCATTAAACGCTCCGTCTGGTTGTCTCTCTCCACACTTTGTTTTGTTTTTTCTGTTTTCTAAACCTCTTCCGTCACACTTTCGTAACTCTCTTTGTTACAACCAACGCCAGAAAACGTTTATGCACTGAATCATTCAATAACAGTAATCATTCCATGTGACACTTTTTAAAGATGTTCATCATTGGCCTTTTATTCCTTTGATTAGAGATAGGACCGTGGATAGAGTCAGAAATCAGGAAGAGAGAGAGAGAGAGAGAGAGAGAGAGAGAGAGAGAGAGAGAGAGAGAGAGAGAGAGAGAGAGAGAGAGAGAGAGAGAGAGAAGAGAGAAGAGAGAGAGAGAGAGAGAGAGAGAGAGAGAGATAGAGAGAGAGAGAGAGAGAGAGAGAGAGAGACATCAGCCATCTGTTACAGTCTGCAGGATCATCAGCAGCGGCCGCCAGGCTGGAAATCCTGTCTCAGACTAACTATCAGTCAACCTAACTACAGGCTGAGATCTGAGGCAGGTTTTAAGCCTCCTGACGAACCGTTACATCCCGCCCACCTGTCAATCATGTCAACTACGCACCTTACTATTGATAACAGGTATCGTTCATCAAAAGTCAAAAGGGGACCGTTTAAAAAGAATGCACCCCCCATACAGTGGGTGCCCAAGATGACAATAACTAATCAGACTTTTTTGTACCAGGCTGTAAACATGTTAAATTCTGCTGTAAAAACAGGAAATCTGAATCTGGTGGCATCAATTTAACATTGAAAAAAACATGAAGAACACCAGATAGACACAGAACCTCTTTACATGTTTCTTTTAATGCCCAGGATGTCGACCAGAAGAGGCATCTCATCTTCTGTCCACATCCACCGCCGACCTGTTAAACGACCTCTGATGACACAGGATGAACTCAACACTCTGCTCTTTATTGAACTTTGCAGCTGACAGATCGGGTTACCATGCCGCCATGCTTTATTCATGTGCTCCTCAATGACTTTGTTTCAGGTTCATTATGTGATCCTGTATGGTTCCTGATGTTTTTTTGTTATCATTGCATGGAAAATCTCGTCTGGGGAAATGAACGTTTCAATCGTTTATTCTCTGATTACCAATCACACTTAATGTCCTTATCACTGACCTTTCTATTTCTCTCATATCATGTAGGAGTGAAATGAACATGAGTGATGCAGAGTGATGACGTGCTCGGCTTTCCCCTCCTGCACAGCTGTTAGCGTCACTTAAACACAATCTAAGATTTAAATCCACAAGCATTACATCATTCTTATTGCTAAACAACCATACGTTTGACACCAAGCTGCCGTTTCAATAAATCGACCAATCTTTATTTGTTTAGCGCCAATTCATAACAAATATCATCTCGAGACACATTATAAAAAAGAGCAGGAATAGATCGCTGTCTTTGTTAAATTATTCTCAAAGACCCGACATGAATCCACCATGCAACATTTAGCACATTCGAGAATCTGGAATAAAATGAGTGAAATAAAAAGAAAACTGAAAGAGAGGAAATCATCTTTCTGTCCAAACATTGAGCCTTAAAGGGAAACCAGCTCATTAAGCTGCATCTGTAGGCCTCATGTCTCTTTAAGACAATGCATCACCAGCAGGGACGGAGACAGTGCCAAGACACTGCAGACACACACACACACACACACACACACACACACACACACACACACACACGAAAAATCACTTACTAAGCCAAACTGGCACAAGACAAGTGCCTAGAAGAGGGAGCCTCTCTTGTTTTCCATTCTCACACTCTCTCACACACACACACACACACACACACACACACACACACACACAACTCTACCAAACAGAAAAACCACAACCCACCCACAAATGTCACAATCAAACACACTAATGTAACTCATGGCACCCACAACAAGGTCAGGGCTCTGCAAACACAAACATGTTGAGGCACAGAGCTTCTGGTAAAAATCAATCAGATAAACACTGACACGCAGAACACCATTTATCTGACCAGGAGTAACAAAACACTCAGCCCACACATCCTTATTTTATTATTTAACAGAACCATATGGAAACTGTTAAAATTACATTTCTCTCTCGCTCTTATTGAATCTGAGGTTTTCTTACTTGTTCTCGTTTGTGGCGTCATATCGAGGCATGGGGTCCATATCGTTGCCGTTGACGTCAAAGCTGGCCTGAGGATCCTGGAGGAGACACGAAAGGGTCGGAATAAGTGCATCAAACATCTCAGTGGGGTTGCCATGACACCAGAATATCAAAGTTTGATTTGATAGTCAAAATCAAATGATCCATACCAGTTTTGTTACTACAATAACCATAAATAGATGTGGTCTCAGGCACCCAATATTGGTTTAATATGTTATTTTAATTCCCAAAAATTGCAGGCAAACTCCTGCACACTGTCTGAAATCACACAAATTCACTGTCAGCATCTCTGAACCGAAACGCTGCCAATGTATAAGTGCAGTTTAGATAGTGTGCAGGAGTTTGCGTTGTATTTTTGATGGACTCATTCCTGTCTTATGCAATGGATGTTGTGTTTTTAAGAGCTTTTCAATACTGTGGATTATTAAAATAACGTTTAAAAAACATGTATCAAAAAGTACAGAAGCATCAAATGTTTGACAACCTCACACCAAAGTGACAGATGTAAAATCATCTTAGAGAGGTTTAGATATGTGGAAATGTAAAACAAAACAAACAAAAAAAACTCTCCAGTGTGGAGGGAATTTAGTTGGAAGTGTTTTACAACGAAGCAGAAAGCACATTTTGCAGGAGGAGGACACCGAGTGTTGGAGGAAGTGTGGATCTCAGGAAGCAAACCACTGGCTTGTTTTCTGGGAGCGCCCTGTGATAAAACCGTTCTGGTTAGAGTTTCATAAAAAGCATTCTGAACATGGACCTGCCACTGTAATTCACCACCATATTTCTAGGAAGTGTACACTTCCAGACTTGGGGGGTGCTGATACTGTAAATACCCGTTTGTTTGGTATATTGATCTCAGCTTGCAAAAAAAAGCCATCACAAGCGCTGATTGCTTCCTGAAACCCCCCCAAGACACACGAGTGGATTGATTTAACACATGATATTTATGATTTTTTTTCTTTGCGTCTCCAGAAAGATGTTTTTGTTTCGCTTTGGTCCAACTGGGTTAAATATGAACGGCCTCTACGGACAGATTCTGAAGAAGTGAGCAACCAAAGTCTTTGTGATTCTGTCTTATCTTTGCACACTTCATTGTTTTCTTACTTTGTCTTTCTTGAGACTGTTTCTGAGACATTTTTTTTATTTATCCTGTGACTGCAGAGGAAATTCAACTGTTTTTTCTGTCTGCTATGTCAGATTGCAGATAACACTGTACATGCTGTCTGCAGTCTAAAATAAAGAATTTAAAAAATGACAAGTGTATTTATGATTGAATAAGTAAAGGAATCTGTGTTTGTGTGTGTGTGTGTGTTAATAGACCTGAACGCCACAAAGCTTCTCTAACCCAATCAAACAGCTCACATCGGCCTCACTCACTCACAACAGTTTTAGTAAATCGAATCCAATCAGAGCTAACTCATTCTGCTGTGTCGTCGCCCCCTTCGGCATCAACAAATCCCGGCATTACAATCTGCTAATAACACGGCGCGGATATCGTCCAACAGGGAGTGAATCATTTCATCTGCTCAGCTGATGGATGGCAAAGACGTTCCTCCTAACTATCTTTACCTCTGAGGCAGACACACCTCTGCATGTGACCACACACCAATAAAGCATACCTGCACACACACACACACAGGTATGAGGAAGCACGATGCGGGAACATGTGACCCTGACGACAGCATTTTATCATTTCTCATTTACTGTCACATCACTCTGTCACATGATGTGGTTTTTTTTCATTAATTACAACTCGATGCTGTTTTCCCATTGGTCCGTTTAGATAACAAGCCAACTGTCAGTCACTCAGCAGCGGCCAATCAGGTAACCGTACCAGGGAACTTTCTGGAATAACGATAAGAAAACACAAAAATAAAAAAAGAAGAATGACGATGGACATCAGCCAATCAGACGACCGCACTAGAAAAAGAAATAGGAAGTGGGAGGAGCTTCCAAGCCTCATTTTTTGAGTATTTTCTTTTGTTCTTTGTTTTTAAATGTATCACGTCGTGTCTTGTAAGCTGACACTGGATGCCTTTAGTTGAGTAAAGTATTTATCTTTCCATCTGTGTGAGACAACGGGATAAATACATTTCAGGACAGTCTGCAACCCTGAAACCTTGAGACTCCCGCACTCGCCATTCACACACTCAAACACACATCCCGCCGCTCATAGCCGCCCTGCACGCGCATACATACACACTCACGTAGTTCTGAAAGAGGTCCGGGTGGTTCCTCTCGATGCCGTCGTCCAGAATGGTCACCACCACGTTTTTACCCGTGTAGCCCCTCTTCCACGCCCCCATGATGTTCATGTCGGACTGGCAGTTGTGGACGTCATCGTTGCAGTGCTGCAGAGATAAGAAGCGGGATGTTAGAAGAGAAAAGGTGACAATGTGCATCCCACAGGTGTAAGATGTAACCTTCCTTAAGCGTGCCCACATCATGACATTTTTAAGCTCAACTTACAGCCATGAGTGAGCGCTCACTTTAAGTTAAAGTGAGTTTTAAAGTGAATTCTCAGACGTTTTTTCACCATAAAATACAAAGTATATGTCGACCAAGGGATTGAAATGTCAAGTGTTTCCTAAGAGTTGTAAACACTTTGCAAGATGTAAATAGTCTTGATGTAAACTTCATCGACAAACAGTGAGACTGGGAGCACTGATCGCCTAGCGCAGTGTTTCCCGCGGCCCCCTGGTGGGCTGTGTGGGTACTGCAGGTGGGCTGCGAAAAGCCTTCAACCAAGTATAGAAATAAAATAAATATCACAATAATGATGATTTTCCACGAGTCAACCCTTTAAGTGATTAGTAAGGCGTGTCATGACTATTCATAGACATAATGTTTGGTAAACTTTTGTGTCTATCTTGCCATAATATCATGTTGTCATGTCCAATAATTTTACCCTTACTGAAAGTAATAGATTTAGTCATAACATTTTTTTTTATAACGGGCCCGGAGTCATTTTGTATTTCAAGTGGCCCGCGGCAGTCTTAAGTTTGGGAAAGGCTGGCCTAGCGGTTACATCACGTGGCCCATGTACAGAGGCTGTAGTCCTCGTTGCACCGGCTGTGGGTTTGAATCTGACCTCAGCCCTCTGCTGCCTGTCATCCCCTCTCTCTCTCCTCCCAACATTTCCTGACTCTCTTCAGCTGTTTTATCCAATAAAAGGAAAAAAAAGCCAAACAACTCTGGGGAAAAAAAACCCACAGACTAAACAAGAAATAAGCGTCTTTATTTAATTTCTCTTCTTTTCAACTCTCCACATTCCCGTTCATCGATGGAGGTTACACAGCTGGCTCTGTATCAGTCACAAGAACCCAGATAATTGTTTTAGCACTTCAATTTATCCAGCTGATCTGTTTTCAATACTTCATTTGCCACAAGTTGTTTATTAAGAGGATAGACGTTATGAAGCCAAATGACTGCCATATTTGAAATGCTGGCTCTAACCAACCTCCAGTCAATCTAGAAACATGCAAAGAGGTGGAGCGGGGGCGGGCCTTAAGCCTCATGACAAACAGCTAAAACGTCCCGACTTGTCAGTAAACTCAGCTGCACCCTCAAGTATGCAGATGTAAGCATACCTCTTGACCTTAATGTAATAAACAAAGATGAGTTGAATAAAATCTTACCCTCTTCATTCTTTTTTCCAAAAAGTAAAAGACCTATAGAGACCAAAACTGCTTTTCATACCAGGGTGTAAACGTGTTTATTTATGTTGTAAAAACTGTCAGTTTAATACAGGACTTATAAGGATTCCTAAACAACTCACAGGAGTGTAACAATCACAAACTACCTCATGCTCAGTTCGCACATATTACATTCATTTTTTTGCAGTTTACATTTTCTATTTGCACTCTACTGCCTTCAAATTGCCTTATTTTTTGTATATATTATTATTATTATTATTATTATTATTATTATTAGGCTACGTTTAATTTTAATATTTTATTGTTGGCATTCATTGTGGACAGCAAAGACAGAATTTCATTGTACAGGGAAACATGTTTCCTACTGTGCACATGACAATAAACATTTTGAATCTTGAATCTTCCTTGGTTGTTTGAGCCAGCCTCAAGAGGACACTTCAGGAACTGCAGTTTGTTTTTTTTAATTCTGCATTTGCTTCATGTTTCAACATTGGAGGTTGACACGCTTCATTTTGATTTTAGAAATTATTTCTTCAATAGTTTTTTTCTTTTTGCTTGAATGAATTAAGATGTGTTCCTGAGTAAGACACCAACATAAACTACTCAACACGCCAACAAAAAAAAACAAAAAAACACTAGACCATCCGATTTGTCTCTCTAGAATATAATGGGAATGACCAGAAGAAGCTTTGACGTCTGTCTAAACATGAAAACACAAATCAAGTTCACAGAGTTCTGTTTTCCAACAGTTAGAAAAATATGTTGAAAAGCTCCGGTCAAAGTATTAGAATTTATCAGCAATCAGTCGATCATTTACTGAGATGAGGACACTCAACCAGACACACACACACACACACACACACACACACACACACACACACACACACGGAACATAACTAAAAGAGCAATGATCTGAGGGTGTATGACAACACTTGTGATAAGCCTGCAAATCTCTGCACTCTAAGTGTGTGTGTGTGTGTGTGTGTGTGTGTGTGTGTGTGTGTGTGTGTGTGTGTGTGTGTGTCTATGAGCGGGAACGAGTGCATGCACGACGCTGCTGTTCTCGGAGGAAGGATGTTGAAACGCAGGGAACACGCTGACATGTATATTTCTGCCTCTGTGGACTTTTTTCCCCTGCAGCAAACATTTATGTTTAAACACGGATCGTCGAACCTTGACCCTAAATCATCTCTCTCTCTTTCGAGTCGAGGAAAAACAAAAAAGGCAACAATTGCATCACAATGGCTCTTTTTATCCGTTCATTCAGCAAAAACACACACATTCACGCAAATCCCTCAGCTCCACTGACCCCGCAGTAAATCAGGATCATGACACGGCCTCGGGTAGCCTTTGACCCACAACCTAGATTCATGTGTATTCCTCACAATCCTCTAAGAATACATGAACTGCACTGAGTGATTTGTACTGCTCCTTCTCCACATTACATTCTTGTTCCTTTGGTGCAGTGACTCTGTAAAAAAAAAAAAAAAAAAAAAAGTGTTATTTAACTCACAATGTACCACATACTGCTCCACTTGGCGTCATTGTAGAATATGTTGTTCTGGGCCGGGCTGCTGAGGGCGGGGCTGGACAGGGAAAGGGGCGGGTTTGGTTTGTAATCCCTCTTTATCCTCCTCTTCACCACCTGCTGCTGTATCCACTCCACCTGAAACACACCAACAAAGACAGGAGATAAGACAATCACATTGAGCAACAAGTCAGCAAGAGGAACTACTTCACACAAAGTCGACATGTGGAATTATTTTATCAAAATGTCCCGGGCATTATGTGTCGTTGATAGAATACAATCTGAGGTTCTCTGGAAATGATGAGTGCTTCATCTTCATGGAAAAAGTGACTAACTAAGGTCGTCATGATACCAGAATTTTAACCTTTGATTGTTTTTTTGCCAATCAATTGCAGACAAACTCCTGCACTCTGTCTTAATCGCACAAATATGTCTTCAGTGTTTCTGTATGTCTGTCATTTAGACAGTGTCACCTCCTCTGCTCTCTGTCTGTGTGTGAAAGACGTCAAAAGGAAGTGAGGAAAGTCAGTATCACCAGCTTGTGAATTTGAATGGGCCACCGCTGCTCTCTCTCTCTCTCTCTCTCTCTCGTTTTTGTGTGTGGCAGCTTTCGGTTAAAATATGACAGAAGATCTGAAGTTTCTGTGTAGCTTTGGGAGTTTTTGATACTATTGTATAGTTTAGAATCAGTGGTATCAAAAAGTTAGAGAGTGAAGAGAGTAGCGTTCATTTTGACAATCTTCATGCAAACACACACAGACATACACAGATAGTCTCCAGAGAACAGATAAGAGTAGTATACTGTTGTTTCCCAGGCAATAAATGTGACAACACTGAGCTGTGTTGTAATTTTGAATTCTTTAAATGAAGCCAAAGATGAGAAAATATCCTCAGAGGAAACACAGAAGATGAAGTGCCTGTGATCTGAAAGCATGATCTATGTCTTGATGACATATCTCTAAGGTTTCCTTTTTACCAACTGAAAGTTAAAAATGTGTAAGCAGACTCAAGTATTCCAGTTCATTTTATGTTATTCCCTTTAATGTGTGAGTCCTCAACAGAGCCAGTACAAAGCTCTGCCATCATCACGCCAAGGGACTGGAACGAAGAAGTAGAGAACCGGGTCCAGCCAGTTTCATCCATTGACATCATTTGACTTTACTTAACGATTTCTTTATCAACGCCTTCCACTAAGTGCTGCGTGCCTTAAAAAACAATGATGTCACACTATAGCAAGGAGTCATCATGGCCAACAGGAGACATTGGGTCCACACTGGCAACATGCTGAAACATGTGTCGACGCAGCACAGCATTAATTATAAAGGAGTACCATGTGACACAACGCATACAGGCCAGGCTTAACGACAGATTCTTTCTTTGACTTGAGACCTAGGAGAAAATGAATGCTGAGCATATATTCTCTCATTTGGGATTAGGGATCAACAAAGAATTGGATCGGTAAGCAGAATCGATATCAATAAATAAAAACTCCTTCATTCCCATCCCTAGTTACGCTTTTGTGTTTCTACATTGATTCAGCAACAGAGTAATGTTTGTGTCCTAAACTCCTGATGTATAATTAGACACTTTGTTATTGTGTTTTACTACGGACGCACATGAGTCACAGTGTGTAATCACAGCAGGAGCTCCACATACACATTCAAGACATGCACACAGACACACACACACACACACACACACTGCTGTTCCTCCTTGAAGCCTACTAAGTTACACATCGCCGCCGCCTCGTCCCCGCTGCACCTCTGTCAATACCTTGCATGGCCGATCAGAAACGTGATAACTACTGAAACGTTCCCAATCTTGGTGTTCTAGGATTTTTGTTATTGTTCCTGTGATATTGAAAAGGGTATTCATAAAGTTGGATTATTCAAAAAATCGTATCAAAGTTTGAAATTCTGGTATGGTGACAACCCGAGTCATCAACGTGAAACCCACGTACTGGTGGGAGACGTTCTACAATTCTACAATTCACTTAGCAGACTTTTATCCAAAGCGACGTACATCAGAGAGTAAGAACAACACAAGCAAGGATCTAGAAAAAAGGGAACAATGTCAGTAAGAGCAAACGATCAGCTTTGAGTCTGATTGGACACACAGGTGCTGACAGGAAGTGACCAGAGGCAAAGCACAACATTGAGGGCAGTTCTTGAGAGCTCTAATCAGTATAGAAACCATCTTATAAGTCGTCATTATCAAACAAAAACCATCGTCACAACCATCATCATCATCAATAATATGGAGACCATCATCATTAAGTTAGTAGGTATTCATGAAAGAGCTGGGTCTTTAGCTTTTTCTTAAAGGTGCAGAGGGACTCTGCAGATCACATGGAGTTTGGAAGTTCATTCCACCACGGGGGGGCGACAGAGGAGAAGAGTCCAGTCAGAGACTGAGGACCCTGTTGTGAATGTTGGATCAGACGCCTTTCATTGGCAGAGCGTAGAGGGGGGAGGGAGTGTAGACCTGGATCAGAGAGTTAAAGTAAGGAGGAGACGGTTTTGTCGCTGTTTTGTCAGCGAGCATGTCATTCCAAACTCTCTCTCTACCTGATTTTCCGACTCTATCTACTGTCCTGTCTCTCCAATAAGGCAGAAAAACGCCCCAAATATTATTGCATTATAGGCAGGGGCGTGTCTGAGGGATGAATAGGGGTAAATAAATGCACTTGATTCAACAATGCACTTGATTCATGTGTGTGCATGCAAACTTCAGGCAACCCTGCACAAGCCAGTGCCCCCCCCCCCCCCAGTCCAAAAAGTCTGGTCCCCCTGATTATAAGCACGCAACAATTCGTCTCACTGGGTTTCTTTTACTCGATTTAGACAAAACATGTTATTATTCACATCGTGCCTGAAATATCATGCACCCAATTCAGAATATTTGTCCTGATTATTAACAAGCCAAACATTCAAGCTGTTTTTTCTTCTGCTGTATACTCGACAAAAAACACAAATAAACCAATACACACAAATACACACAACAAAGTAATACCTGAGACACATGTTGCTAGACACAGGCCCCAACTGTCTCATTTGTGAAGTGTGCTTTGTGTGTGTGTGAGAGTCTTTAAGTATAAACATCTATTTGTCTGAGAGTGTGTGTGTGTGTGTGTGTGTGTGTGTGTGTGTGTGTGTGTGTGTGTGTGTGTGTGTTAGAGTGATAACCCGCCTAGGAGACTCAAAAGAGGAAGCTAATGGACTCCAACCGCGGAGCGCTTGTCACACAAACATTTCTGCTGTCACAGCAGTTTATCACACATAACACAATGAGACACCCCCCCTAACACACACACACACACACACACACACACACACACACACACACACACACACTGGCACAAAACCACACAGCCACACACTGTCCCAAAGCAGCCATTTGTCCCAGCTTGCAGAGAGTGGATGGGAGGGGAGCAGGGCAGAGAACAAAGGAGAAGAGACAGTCGGAGAGAGCAGTTGTGTTTTCACTGTTGTTTCAGCAAATTTGATGTGACAAAGTGAAAAAGAGGGCTTCTTGGCACCACACTGCTCCCCACTGAACACATGCCTGACCGTGTGAGGATACAGCCGTGCCTATGGACGGCTTGGCAGACTTTCATCAGTTTAAGCCTTTTAATATATACATGAATGCATTCAGTGTGTTCTTACCTCTGGAAAGTGTGTGTATATTGAACGACCTGTGTTTATCAGAGAAATAGAGGCGTCCATTATTAATGTCCAGTTTTACAGTGAGAAGTCTCTCAGTGACGGCATGCTGCTCACAGGAACACACCGAATGGACAGATATCAGGCACAATATACGTACTGTCTCTGACACATATAACAATTTAAAGTACCTTTAATGATCTGCTGAATTTACCAAAAAGTGTATTTAGTAACCATGTTGCAGTTTTGTGGAACAAACTACCCGCTGACCTGAGGTCTGTAGAAACTTTAAGTTCTTTTAAGAACGGTCTTAAAACATCACTTTTCTCTCGCATCTTTGGTCGCTAATTTATCTTTGTGTGTGTGTGGTGTGTGTGTGTGTGTGTGTGTGTGTGTGGTGTGTGTGTGTGTGTGTGTGTGTGTGTGTGTGTGTGTGTATATGTTGGTGTATGGTCCCTGTGTGGCACTCTATAGAAACAGGTGCGTGTTGTATGGGATGCTCCTTTTACAAATGTCTTTGTTTAAAGAATCCATTTGTTCATTCTTTCATGTTTTTTTCTTATTTAAATGAGTTTGTATTGTGTTTGTTTATCTTTCTTTTCTGTAAAGCACATTGAGTTTATGTTTGTATGAAATGTGCTATACAAATAAAATTGAATTGAATTGAGTTATTGGCATCAATGATGGTTTTATTAAGATATTTTGACAGACTTTCATTTTATTTAACCAGGAAAAATGTCACTGAGATTTCAGTCAGATATTTCTACCTCCGTATTCACAAAGCCTCCTAAGTACTACGAGTTACTCCTAGTGACAAAATTCTCAGAAAAATTTTGGTATCGGGACATTTTCTAAGAATTTCCCTCAAAGTTAGGACTAGAGATATTGTAAATTGAGTAGAAATCAATGACTTACATTCTAAAGTGTATTATCGGCCACATGAGGGTCTGCAGAGCTCGTTGGAGCTGGCACACATAGAATCTCGGGATATGTTGGGCCAAGAAGAATGCACTGGATGAGTCCTTTCTTGGGCAGGAAAAGAGGACCCATTTGTTGGGCCTTTGAAATGGGACACTGTTCAAAGCGCCCTCTGAA